CATGTGTGAAAGCAGGGTTCGATTTCATGCTCTTTCATGCTTGACAGATTCAGCATTTACCAACCAAATGATTTATACTCACAAAACATACCAGACTGTTAAATTATTTCCCAACAGCTTTCAGGATTATACTATAAATCATGCTATTAAATAGGTTCCTAAGAAGTCCAAAAATGAAGGGATTTTAATATGTTTTTCAATTTTTAAAGCCTTCATTTTATGTGTCCATTTTAATTGCAAGATTTCTATATATGATCATGATATTTCATGTTACTTTTAAAAATTAATAGTGCATTATTTTCTAGTCATTACCTAATTTGGCTTTCTCAACTCCGTTTTTATTTATGCATTTATAATAGCATCTGTTCAAAAAATATTCAGGTAAGTTCTAGTTTAAAAATCATGTCCTGCAAACAGGGAGGCCGCTCTGGAAACTCACATAGTCCATCAACTCGTGCGCAGCGCAGTTGATGGCCCAGGTGCAGGCTCATTCCCAGCTCTATCCCCAGGTTCGAGCAGATCCCCTGAATCAGAAGCAGTGGCTGCTCTAAGGTGTCATAGTTAACCGTTAGACAGCCAAGGTGAGACATCTTGCCAGTGATTGGCTGCTGCAAGATCAAAGGAGAACGATTCAGGTCACCATAGTGTGTGAAGGTTCTTGGAGCGCCCTGCGACAGACATGGGTCCTCCAGAGACCTCTTCCTTCCATGTTTTGATGGCGTCTACTTCTGACCCTCCCCGCCCAGCCCTGGTCTGAGTCTTTAATCCCCAACACCATCTGCTTTTCTTTCTTCCTAACTATTCTACCTGACCAACTCTGCCCTTGTTCACTGGGCTAACCTGAGCCACCAATCACCAGGCTATCCCTTGGAAATTATCCATGGATCTCTACCTTGGTTAGTCCTCCTCTTCCAAAAACACTTTCTTACGTTCAGGTTTCTTCTAGGTGAGTATCACGGTTAGCTGTTGTTTGTTTGTTTGTTTAGTACCAGTACCAGCTCATCTGAGTTGCTCTGACCTCCGTGAGTGTGAACACTGCCTTTTTTCTTTCTCCCTCTGTTAGTGACGCTATGAGTTTCTAGGCTATCCTATGCCACTCTGTTCTTTATAGAGACAGGATTCAGTTCAGTCCCAGTAGTCATAAAGAATACCTCTCCATCCTAAGATTTCAGTTAATGCCAGGCGTTGATGGTGCACTCCTTTTATCTCAGTACCCAGGAGGCGGAGGCAGGAGGATCTCTGAGTTTGAGACCAGCCTGGTCTACAGAGTGAGTTCCAGGACAGCCAGGGCTACACAGAGAAAACCCCTGTCTCAAAAGACAAAACAAAACAAAACAAAAAAAAGGGGAAAGAAAAAAAAAAAAAGATTTCAGTAGCGGATGATCTCTCCAGGAAACTTGCAGCCAGGAAGAGGAAGACTGAGGCGCCAAGTCTACATTAGCACTCTTGGAATAAAGTCTCCATTTCTTTGACTTAGTCCTGGTCTTGGAAGAAAAGCACTAAGAGGGGGTGGGGTGGGGGAGGGAGCAGGGCACATGCAGTGCCCAAAGGGGGTGGAGAACACATGCTTACCTGACCTCTTTTGCCTGCATCATGCCCTTTTTTGGTCTCTGGTTTTGGAGGTGGGGGCTATGGGATGAGAAAATGAAGAAAAATGTATCACTTGGTATTTTCAGACATCCCTGTGGCAGCAAGCAGAGCTGTTGGCCCTGAGGCTGGCTATTCTTAGGGGAGTGGTCTTCTATACCATGAATCTCATGCATACGAAGTTGGCTACACAGACACAGAGATCATTCCAGAAATGTTCTTCAAGTCCCTCAACCTCAAGTCTGCCTTTAGTTCATCCTCTTCTGCCCTTACCCCACTGCACATTGGTCCTCAAAGCATATGCAGGTCACATTAGGAACTCCTGGTGTGTGCACACACTCCTTCTGGGCAGGAGCATAGCAAATCCTCTCCTGACCTCAGAACTACTACCTGCCAATGTGGGATTTGCTTTCACAGGCTCAATATTTTCAGAATAAAATCAAGGTGTATTTGATTTTTGGAGAGAGCCAAAGGTCATGAAATACTTTATAAATCCTAAGTGATGATCTTAGTAAAGAGCCAGTTTCTCGGGGGACTAAAATGGATTGTCCAATACCCTGGAAGATAGATCCACTGCCAATGAACAATGTATGCACTTGGATCATAGGTAGCTTCACCTGCCAACTTGACACAAACCCAGAGTCACCTAGGAGGGACCGTCTAGGTCAGACCTGGCCTGTGGCCACGTCTGTGAGGCTTTTTCATTTTCTTTTGTCATTTCTTCTTTCTTCTCTTTCTTTCTTTCTTTCTTTCTTTCTTTCTTTCTTTCTTTCCTTCTTTCTCTCTCTCTTTCTTTCTTTCTTTCTTTCTTTCCTTTTCTTTTTTTTTCTTCCTCTTTTTTTTGGTTTTTTGAGACAGGGTTTCTCTGTATAACAACCCTGGCTGTCCTGGAACTCGCCTGAACTCAGAGTTCTGCCTGCCTCCTCGCCTCCCAAGTGCTGGGATTAAGGGTGTGCACCAGCACAGGCTGGCTGTAAGGCTTTTCTTAATTGTTAATTGATACAGGAGAGCCCAGCTGACAGTGTGTGGTGCCATCCGTAGGCTGCTCCCCTAAACCCCCTTTTCTAACATGCCTTTTACACCCCTCCCATTAGGACAATCAGCCCCTCATACCTGGGAGCTCCCTTTTTCCTAGTCCTCCCCTAGAGGTGCGCCTCCTCCCCTTCCCACTCCATCATGGCCATCCTGGCTGGATTTGTACAGTGACCTGCGCCCCCACCCCCTTTATAATTAAACAGACCCGGAAGTGCTGGTTCCAAGATGGACCCAAGATAATGTTAGCGATTTTAAAGTGATGAAATGTACAGACCATGCAAACCACGACAGAAAGAAAGGTAGCTGAACAAGCCGGAGGAAGCAAGCCAGTAAGCAAGGTCCCTCCATATTTTCTGTTCCAGGTTCCTGCCCTGACATTCCTCAATGGTAGACTGGTACCCGGAAGTGGAAGCCAAATAACCCTTTCCTCCCAGGTTGCTTTTTTGGTCATGGTGTTTATTGCGGCACACAGAAGTGAGGCTAGGACAACTTGGTTTGGATGGGAAACCCGAAGCAAACAAATGCATTCTCCAGAGCAACAAGAGCAACAGTGATTTAATCCCAAAATGAAGTACAAACTGGATTTGAGTGTCAGTAATTACCACAAGCTCCCTTTACATACCGTCTCCATCACTCTGTTAACTTGTTTCTGAATTTCCAGAAGCAAATCTATACCCTGTAAGCAGAACAGCCATGGTGTACAACTTCAGTCTGCAGATTTTAAACATAAGACTCATAGCCTGACGGCCAGTGTTTACTGAGACTGTTCATGGACCCCCTACTGAGGACTGCCAGTTAGTGGATGGTGTGGCCTACACAATGAGAAGAGCAAATGTTCATCTCTGACCCCCACTGGCTTGAGTGTGAGCGACAGGCTCTCTGCCTTGGTATCTTCATTGTGAAAACCGACTAACTATTCTTTATCATAGCCTCTTGGCCAAGCTGGACAACGTCACAATACATGTCACAGGGCACCAAGGAAGCCTGGCTAAATTAGTTTGAATCCCCTGTCACCTAAGAAGTAGAGCACTAGGGCTGGAGAGATGGCTTATCTGGAAAAGCACTCGTTTTTTGCCGGGGACACGGGCTCAGTTCCCAGCATCCACAGGACAGCTAACAACTGCCTGTAATTCCCCTTGCAGAGAATCCAGCACCCTCTTATGGCCTCTTCAGGCACTGTACAGACAGGGTGCACAGACAGACATGCAGGCAAAACACCCATACACATAAAATAAGTACACCTTTACAAGGAGGAAGAGAAGCAGGTATGGTCCGATGGTGAGGGCGTCTGCACATGAAGATGAAGGGCGACGTGCAGAGCGCTCTGGGGCCCGAAGAGCGCGGTGACAGTGACTGAGAGGGGTCCTGGCAACAGGGTCTGAATATGACCTGACAGATAACCTGACAGCGGGAGTGCACAGGTAAACTCTAGTTACCTGGAAATGTAAACTGTGAGGTAATGATAATTTTGTTTAAAAGGGATCCTTTTTTACAGAGAAAGCAAGTGAAACTTTTATGAAGCTTATTTTCACAAACTTAGGAAAACTGCACTCACTGCAGGAGGAGTGGGGGGACTTCCTCGGCTTTTTTTTTTTTGAAAGCATTCACCATAGCATGAACCTTAGGTAGTTATTTCTAACGCCTAACTGGTAGAGGACTTGGAGCATAATGACCCTCAGGGCACTAAAGGGCAACGTAGACATCACCAGCACAACCCTGAGAAGTGCAGCTCTGACTCAGGATGTGCTCATCTCACAAATAAGCACGGAACACCCCATGGATTGCTGGGAAGCACAGGCTTCTGTTACAGCCAACGAGTAAAGGTGTTCTCCGTACTCTCAGATGATAGCTTCCACAAGACCTTGCTCCTGCGAGTCAGCACCTGCAGCCAAGGCTGTACCAAACCAGACCTGTAAGTGGGTCTGTTTCCTTCAGAAAATATCGTTTCATACATTTAATTCACGTCCCTTTGGTCTACACTAAAATTCACCAGTGATGGAGGCTAGGGGGGGCGGGGGTGGGGTAGGAAAACTGTCTTAGCTGATATCAGGTACTTGTTTGGTTGTTAATCCAGGATGGGGTATACAAATCACTTCTTTCATTAAATTTAGCTTCCCAGGTGATGACTTCCCACAGCTGAGTACAGATCCCATCAGCAAAGGCATAGTGAGCATCGACGGCTGCTCCTGAAATGTCAGGAAAGCAAGGGACAGTGAGAACAGCAGTTCTCTGGCTCTGCCACATTCCAGGCTCCATGCAGTGATGGGATGCAGCGTCCACTCACCTGGCCGTGCTTTAGTGACGCCATGTTCATGTACAGAGGAATACCGGTCAGTCTGGCACTGGCTTTAGCAACAGCTAGTGACGTAGCTCCTATGGCCATGCTGCCATGGAGGACTGGTTCAGGGGGTTCTGGGGGTATAATAGGTTTTTCCAAAAGAGTGTCCCTCCGTCCTGGAGAGGAAAGCACAGAGAAAGGATTCGTTTCTAGAAATCTCACCATAATAAAACCACATTTTCATTTAATGCTGCTCTCACAGAAGACACAGCACAGACGAAAGGGAGAGAGACAAGGCTAGAATTCTCCTTGGTTCCCAAGGATTTTCAGATTTGCTCACTTAGCAGTACTCAATCATCCTCGGCCATGGATTCTGCCTAACGATTTTTAGGTCACTCACCATGAACTTGGTCCACAATCGTAAGTGGTAGACACTGCTACTCCCACATTTTCATGTAAGTAAACTGGGATTTGTTGTTGTTGAGAGACCACAGCATATTTATTGCCCAATATTTTGGGGGGATATTGACCACCCTGTGAACCTCGAGTTTACATTTGTGTTAATTAAATAAAATTAACCTTGGGTCTGGGGGCTGAGTTAGCAACTAGTTGACAGGAAGTAATCACAGAGCATCAGAGAGCATCTGGAAGAGACGCACCAGAATGAGGAGGGAGGGATCTGGAGTGGTGCGGCTTAGGACACACTCTTAGGGAGACATCAGCAAGGAAAGGAGATCAGCTAGTTGCTACTCAGCCTCTCTGAACTAGTGGGTTTTCACCCCAGACTTTGAATCTCGACTCTTATTTATAAATAGAACGACAGAGATTTAGTTAAAGCTACCATTAGTGGCAGTCACAGAGCCGGTGCCTTGCGAACAGAATTCTCACCAGGTTTTGGCCCAAGTGGCTGGCAGGTAACTGCAGAGTTGCAATTGCTGGCTGAAATAGCAGTAGATTAAGGTGCAGCTACTGTGGTGAAGTTAGAACAATATGACATGTTATAGGAAGTAGATGCAGACTTTAGAGTCTTTGAATTCCAGTGCTCTTCTGTGTCACCGTGGTTTCCACGACCTAACATTGAGTACCTCTTCATGGGCCTAATTGCCGTCCTTTTCTCTACACTCAAAGCCATGCTTTGTTCTGTGTTTGGCCACCATCTCTAGTAAAGCCCCACGCCCAACAGTCTACCCAGAATCCTCACCCCTCTTCACTCTGCCCGTTCTCAGCCTCCAGTCTCCTGTTCTTCCCCACAGCTACCTTGGGTCCTCAGTGGAGAGAAGACACTAAGCACCCTGCACCTGGTTAGTGCAGAGCAAATCCGTCTCCATCTGTCGTTCCTCTCTCCTTAAGCTCTTAGTTCTGAGTCAAAAGCATCTGCTAAGTGAAGCTCATTGGTGGATCCCTCCCATCTGTAGCTTGGCAGTGTCCACACCCTCTGGGAAAAGAGGTCTAACACAATAAAATAAAGGCTTTCGTTTTTCATCTCAGTTCCTTCCTAGTCTAGTGTCTTCTTATTCTTCTTCTTCTTATTATTATTATATTTTCCAAGACAGGGTTTCTCTGTGTAACCCTGGCTGTCCTGGATCTCGCTCTTTAGACCAGGCTGGCCTCAGACTCACAGAGATCACCCTGCCTTTGCCTCCTGAGTACTGGGATTAAAGGCGTAGGCCACCACCATCAGGCTAGTGTTTTCTTATTTAATGAAACCCATTTTTCAACTGGGCGTCCAGATGTGCCTGGGGTCATGTTAGCAACTGGCAGTCATGGCAAGTTGAAGGAAACATGGCATGAGTCGTTAGGAGACATAAAGATATGATACCAGGGGCAGCTCTAGTGCTCACACACTGGAGGGGCCGCTGTTGGAAGTGTGGGCAGAGATCAGATTGATGCAAAGCTTTAGAAAACAAATGCTAATTGATATGTGAGACCAAAACAGAACAATACACCTTGAAGGTTAAGGTTTTTGTTTGCAGCTAAGACCGTTAAGAATAAGTTCCTGTTTGTCCTGTGTTAAGTCCTTGCAAGTTAAGGTTTCTATTTGTAATTGACAATAAGGCCCTGTTGTAAACTGCAAAACATGTTTTTCAACTACACTAAATTTGCAACCCCATTCACATGATGTATATCCTGACCCTTGTTCCATCCCTTTCACTGTATTTTTTTAACAACGTGTAACAGCCAACCCTTGCCCCTGTGAACATTTTATATCTCCTTAAAAGAACCTCAAGAGGCCAGCAGGGGCTGCTCTCTCAAATCTCAGCTTAGGGTGAGACAGCCAGCTAGTCCCAGGTGCACCCCAAAATACATCTTGCTTTAACTGGACAACTGTGGATGTGATCTTTTCCCCTCTTGATTCTCATGTCTCGCAGATATGCAATTAGATCACAGAACTTGCCTCTATCAAAGCAGACGCTTTATAATGGGATGGCTTTTTGACTCCCTCTTGGAAACTTTCGGGGAGATGCAAATTCCTTCCCTCCATGCTCCCCACTCACCCACTGCCACTGTTTAAGGCATTTTATTCAGTAAGTGCTCACCTATGAATAAGAGCACAGTCATTTTGGTTCTCAAACAAAAACGGAAGGTAAAATGTGATAAAACCTTATCCACCCAGCACAGCAGTTTCAAGGGAGGTGGATGGCACCTGGTTGGGCACTGCCAGCACCAAAGTCCGGCCTCTCTTCCTGGTACCTTCGCAACTAAAGGTGCTGGAAGATGACAAGCCACTCACTCACCTTGCTTCTGTCCTTTCTTTTTGGTGGGGGGTGGAGGAGGTGGTGGAGGAATTACAGGTGGAGGTGCATGCACTGGCTCCTCAGAGTTCCTTTCCAGTTCTTTTCTCTCTTTATCTTCTTGTACTTTATTTTCAAAGAATATTCTGAATGGCAGGAATTATAAGACTTTACAATGAGATGTCATTTTTAGAGCTGACCCTGATGTTTCAATAATATGATTTTTTAAGCTAATGAAGAACAAATTAGCTTTAGTTTCCAAGATTAATAAAAGTAATGATGGTGTTAAAGCCATTTTTCAAGAATCAAATTCTTACCATTTAAATTATTTGAGCTCTTTTTATACTCTCAAAATAAAATTGGAAGACATAATTTGATTAAGGGTTACTGGATTTTCTTTTTACATAAATGACATTAGGAACTAAACCATTTAAGAATCCTTAGTGAAAACAGTGCTGTGAAGATGTCTTTTCCTTTTCCCCGTACCAAGAGACTTATTTTTAAGTGTGTGTGTGCACAGGTGTGTGTGTGTGTGTGTGTGTGTGTGTGCGTGCGTGCACAGGTGTGTGTGTGTGTGTGTGTGTGTGTGTGTGTGTGTGTGTGTGTGTGTGCACAGATGTGTATGCATGTGTGTGTGCACGAGCGGGACACACAATGCGGGCATGGTGGCACCTGTGGTGGCACCTGTGGTGGCACCTGTGGTGGTGGTGGTGGACATTCATTCACAACCCAGGCGCCACATCTGTTCGGACATGAATTTATTATAATATAAAGAAACAGAAAGACAGAAAGGAGAGAGAGGAAGAGATAGATGGGGGGCTGGGGGTGCACACCTCACAGCAGGAAAAGCAGAAGAGAGAGAGGAAGGGGAGTTTTTCCTTAAAATGAGGCTTTTATGTCAGGACACAGGTGTAGCACGAATCTTAGAAGGTCTTATTAATAAAATCAAACCTGAGGCCAGGTATTGGGGTGAACGTTGGAAGATCAGAGAAACAGAACAAGCCACAGCCACCTCACTTGGCCAGTTCCTCAGCTGATCCTGTTTCCTCAGACTGAAAGCCTCTGAGTCCTCATCCAGAATGAATCTCAGCTCAACTGTGCTGCTCAAAAGCCTGAAAGCTTAACTGGCCAAAATGCTTCTAGTTCCTGGTCCTCACGCCTTATATACCTTTCTGCTTTCTGCCATCACTTCCTGGGATTAAAGGCGTGTGTCACCATGCCTGGCTGTTTCCAGTATGGCCTTGAACTCACAGAGATCCAGATGGATCTCTGCCTCTGGAATGCTAGGATTAAAGGTTTGTGTGCGCCACCATTTTCTGGCCTCTATGTATGTCTAGTGGCTGTTCTGTTCTCTGACCCCAGATAAGTTTACTAGGGTGTACAATATTTTGGGGAACACAATACCACCACACACAGGGCAGCACCAAGGGGTGGGTCAGAATATTAACATGCACCCCAAGAAAAATTCAAGCTTGCCTAAAATTTGGGTTTAAATTGTAAGAGTGGTCTTATTCTTGCCTTTGGGATTAACATTTTCTGGAGGCCCCAGTGAGATTCAGACCACCCACCCAAATTCTAAACCTGGACCTTGGCTCTGGAACTCCAGGGCCTGGGGGGCTGCCTCAGCAGGCATGTGTCTTGAGATGTTCCAAGGCTCCAAGGCCGCCTTCAGTTCACCAACTATCAGGTTGACCTTCGTGCTGAGAAAGGCAGCTAGCATCCACGGCGGCCTCCTGGTGCATCATGGTCTGGTTCTGTTTTGTGGGTCCCTATCTGGGATGAGGAGAGGGTTAGATGGGACCCCAATATTCTCCTGTTCAGGGCAAAAAGCGAGATGTTGCACCACCCACCTGAGGTTCTTGGTCTGGTATTTGTAGGTCTGGTCTTGTCTCTGGCTTCATTTTTACTGTCCTCTTTCTGCCTCTTGTACTTTCCGTGTTAATTGGTTTATTTTGGACTTGGGGTGACTGAACTATCGGACAGTGTGGGGAACGAGACTAGCAAGCCTACAGCCCTCTGTGTCCTAAAGACTTCTGATAAAAGAAAACTTGACCTTGCTATAGTTAAGGAGGGTTATGATTATCCTATCAACAAATGTCTCCTCCAATGTTCTGTGACACTGAATGGCCCACATTCGGGGTTGACTGGCCCTCCCAGGGTACTTTTGATTCTCAGACGGCCTGGGCAGAGGTTAATGTCACCCTCAGTAAGCCTGGCCACCCAGATCAGACTGGGTACATCTTGCCTTGGGCTGAAGCAATTTCCAAACCACCCCCTGATAAGCTCTGGTTGTCGGCAGATGGACCCTTCAAAGGCCTGTAGCAGAGACCAATGAGCCCCCTCTAAAGACTGTTCTCAGGACTCTCAGGACTCAAAGGAGGAAGAACCCTCCTCCTTCTGAATAACCATCTTCACCCTCTTCTCTCCTCACTTCAACCTCCACCTCTGCCACCCCAGTCCCCACCACCAAGGCCTCACTCTGCCTCCATCTGCACCTGACCCACTCCACCATCTAGCTCTTCCCTACCTCCCACTGTCTTTTCCCCTCCCCACACCGTCCTCCCAGCTCCTCCGATTCTGGTTCTGGGGTGGCTCCTCCTTCAGTTCCTGTTTCCCTATGGCCATTTCCTGACACTTGCTACCTGTGTGCCCCTTTCTCCACCACAGATCTCTGCAACTGGAAGAACCAGAACTCCCCTTTCAGCACTAGCCTGATGACTCCATCATTTCTCTAATTGATTCTATCTTTTTCAATCATCTCCCCACATGGAACAACTGTCAGCAGATTCTCTGTACCCTCTTTGCTACTGAAGAAGGGGAACAGATTCTCACAAGAGCAACTGAAGCACTCCCCAGAATAGCTTCAGTGGCTGACGGCCAGAGGGTAGAGGTGATTAGCCACGTTCTGCCAAGAAGGAGACCCCAATGGGACAGAGAGAGAGGTAGGAGGTCACTCAGTGAACACCACCAGGTTCTTCTGGAAGGGATGAAATGGGCAACCAGAAAGTCCACTAATCTACGGTAACAAATGTGAAACAGGGCCCAGATGACTCACTTTCATCTTTCCTGGAGTGCCTCCTGACATCTATCAGTTATAAATAGACTCAGAGGACTTGGCAAATCTCAAGGCGATTAACCTGGCCTTTGTTACTCAGCCAGCCCCTGACATATGTAGAAAGATACAAAAGATGGATGGGTGTTCAGGAAAGAACAGGTCAGAACTATTAGAAATAGCCCTGAAGGCATTTGACGGCAGAAAGAGCCAAGAAGATCTTCTGATAAAGAAGAGAGCCATGCCCCTGTGGCTGTACTACAAACCTAGGCCACTTTCAACTCTGCCCATACACGCCATGATAAAAGGAGGAGACCTTTACAAAAGGACCGATGTGCCTACTGCAAAGAAATGGGTCATTGGAAAAGTGAATGTCCATGCCAGAAACAGGCAGTCCCCCTCAAGCCCAAGCCAAGCCTGGATACAGAGGACCAGCGAGGGTGAGGCTCCTTCCAACTAGGCCCCCAGGAGCCCATGGTAACTGTCACCATAGGGGGCCAACCTGTAAAATTTCTGGTGGACACAGGGGCTACTCATTCAGTATTGCAGAAGTCCCTGGGACCCCATACCAACAAACAATGGAAGTACAGGGGATGTCAAAGAATACGAATGGACAACTGGACTGTTAACCTAGCACAAAGAACTGTGACTCATTCTTTTATTGTTATTCCTGGATGCCCCTACCCTTTACTGGGCAGGACCTCTTGAACAAGCTCCAGGTAACAATATCCTTCTCAGGAGACTCTCCTAGGTTACAACTGGGAGGCCCTGCTAAGGCTTTAAGTATAACCTGCCCAATAAGTGAGAAATAGCTTATCCTCCAAAATCCAACCCATTCCCTGGAAGGGGAATGGAAAAAGATGCTGATCCAGGAAATTCCTACAGTTTGGGCAGAGAACAATCCTCCTGGCTTGGCAAACCATGTGCCACCAATCATAGTGCAGCTAATATCTGGGGCAGTGCCCATTCAGGTCAAGCAGTACCCATCAGTTCAGAAGCCATGGATGGGACTGAGATTCACATCAGGCGCCTCCTTGAAGCAGGCATACTTATTCCTCGCCAGTCAGCCTGAAATACCCCCTTGTTGCCTGTCCAAAAGCCTGGAACTTGAGACTTTAGACTAGTATGAGACTTGAGGGAAGTGAACAAAAGGGTAGAAAGAAGGCATTTACCCAACTGTTCCAAATCCCTATACTTTGCTCAGTTTATTACCACCAGAGCATAAAGTATACACTGTATTGGACTTAAAAGATGCATTCTTCTCCATCCCTCTGTCAAAATTATGTCAGCCCATCTTCACATTTGAATGGGCTGACCCTGAACTTGGGATATCAGGACAACTAACCTGGACCAGAGTGCCTCAAGGGTTCAAGGGACTGTCCTACCGTCTTCGATGAAGCACTCACCCAGGATTCACGTCCCTTCCATAGTAAGTACCCCAAGGTAACCTTGCTTCAATGTAGATGGTTTATTATTGGATGAGGAGGACTGTTTGAAGGCCACCAGAGGCCTTTTGGAAACTCTAGCCCAGTTAGGTTATAGAGACTCTGAAATGAAAGCCCAAATTTGCTCACTGTGGGTTACTCACTTGGAATATGAGCCGAGAGAAGGAAAAGACCATTGTCCCAGGCCCGCATAACAGCCATACTGCAAATCCCAACTCCAACCACCAGGAAACAAGTTCGGGAATTTCTAGGAGCTGTTGGACACTGCCATCTTTGGATACCTGGGTTTGCTGAAATTGCCAAACCCTTGTACTCCGCTATGGCGGGGGGGGGGGGGGGGGGGTGACATTCCTTTGGAATGGACTGAGGGACATGTACAGGCCTTTGAGAACTTAAAAGAGGCCCTGGTACAGGCCCCACATTAACTCTCCCTGACATCTCCAAGCCCTTCCATCTTTACACCCATGAAAGAAAGGCCATTGCCATGGGGGTCCTGACTCAGACTCTGGGTCCCTGGAAAAGGCCAATAGCTTCCATCTCAAAGAGATTGGATCCTGCAGCCTCTGGGTGGCCCTCTTGCATGAGAGCCATTGAAGCCACTGCAATTCTTGTAAGAGAGGCTGACAAACTCACTTTGGAACGGATTCTA